GTAAGCTCCGCGATGCGCCGTTGGTACTGTTTCACGGTAGCGTTACTCCAAGATATGAGTGCCAACTTGCATTCCTCAGTTTTGGACCTTTTGGTGATAATATCATCGACGGGGTTGATTGCCGCCTGGCCCGCCCAATGCTGGTCAATTAGGGCTTCACAATTATCTCGATGCATCCATCAAGCAGTGATCGGATCCTTGGTAGTCGAGTCGAGGTGGGAGACTTGTGCATGGGGGTACATAGTAATACAATCCAGATTGGCGCACACTCTATCGAGGTGACATTGAACAGTGTCCGAATATTGCCTATTGTTCGACCAAGTAAAAGTATCTCCCGTAAAACCGATATCACTAAGAGCACATAGCCTCCCTAAACACTCAGATGCTTGATGACAGTCGTGGAGGACCGCCCTCCTTCTCCGTATTGTCAAGAATTTTGTTAAAACCACCGCCGACCATCCACGGTAAGTCATTGTGGTCCCGGCGTGTACGGAGGAGATTCCATGACTTGTGCCTTTGGGATTGGTCCGCAAACCGTAGAATCCGGTAAACCGCCATTTCGCCTCCTTCTCCTTATCATGAACTTCAACGTCAATATGATTAGGAGAAAAACTAAGATGATCAACAGTCATATCTTTCTTCCACATTAATGCTAGGCCTCCCAATTGTCCAATACTAGCCACGGCCATACCAAACAAATTCCATTTCCTTTTTAAGTGTTCAATTCTATGAGCTTTGCTTTGCTTTCAGAAAGGAACACAAGATCGGGGTGAATTTTTTGGAGAATTTCTCCGAGGACGTGAATCGTCAAAGGCACCCCGAACCATTGACAATTCCAAAGCAAAAAACTCATTGACGTCGGCGGGACTGCTCCGCAGTCTCCGCTGTTGAACTAGATTCTCATCCCGAAGTACGACATGTTGTTTCTTGCCACTCCGCTGATTTTGTGTCACCGTGGTGTCATCTCTCTTCTTCTTCCTATTTGCATTCGGTACAAACACCATCTTTCTTTGTGTTGTCCCCGTAATGTACTCAGACGCCAAAGAGACTTCATTGGTGACTAAATTGGTTTCGTCAATAAATGCCAAACTCAGATTTTCCTTCCCTCCTCTACCGTTGCTTTGAGCTTGGTTGTTGTTCGAATATGAGCGAAAATAAAAAACATTCCCTTCTCTCACTGAGTTCCTAGCCCCGTCTCCTCCAGTCTCCATAAAATTAGGGTTTATTGACTGCAAGGGTAATTTAGGGTTTCCAACCTCATTACCCAATGATGCTCGAAGCCACACTCCATATGGAAGATCCTCCTAGGTTCCGCAAAACCATCCTCATAGCGAAGAGGACATTTATTTTCCCCGTGCCCAATAATACCGCAGAGAAAGCAAAAGTTTGGGAGATGTTCGTAGGTAAAATACACACATTGCTTGGATCCGTCTGCGTTGTGAATGTAATTCGTTTAAGATTGCGCGATCCATCCATAACCACCTTAACTCTCGCAAATTGAGCCATCGACAATTGTTTTTAGTTCAATACTTCCAATGCCTCCACAAACCTATTACCAATTTGCATAGCCACGTTATTGCTCTTATACTATGCCGAGACATAACGACCGA